GGCGTTACTGCCATGGTCCTTCAATCCACCATCTTGAATTCTTCCCCCAACTATTGGAATTTTCAAACTTTTTTTTTATTATTATTAAATTCAGTGTTTTGTTTAGTTGCAAGTATAGATATGAGATTGTAAGAGTTAAGGTCAAGTACCCTGTAAATTTTTCCATATCCTATATGGGGGGGGGGGGAAATGGACTGAAATGATCTTATTGGTCTTTCTTCCAGGTCCCCTCACAACCTTCACTCTGAGCATTACTGTGTATCCACCACTAGAGATTTTGACAGGAAGTGGCTGGAAGGGAGGCAACTGGGGAGAATGTGCTGGAAGTATGCAATGGGAGAACAGAATTAAAACCTACCAGAGCAGAACAGCCAAGCTTTCTTCTTATATCTCCCCACATCCCTACCTTTTCTCCAGTGAGACCTCTTCTTTAAATGTACAGAGGTATAATTAAAAGGAATTGCTCTGAGCAGCCGGGGAGTGTTATTGTAAAAAAGTAAAAGTGATCCAAAATGAAGAAACATACCTAAGAGCAATGCATTGAAAGTCATGAAGAAGCCTCACTACTCTGGGCATATTCACTGTAACTGTTATTATTTGAAATGTATTACAACAATCAGCAACTTGGTGTGAAGTTTGTAGAATATAGAGATATCTGTAACACTGTAGAAATGTTACAAAAAGTGAAAGTGAATATTTTAAGGAGGAATTCTCAAATATTCACTGTTCAGATTTTTAAAAGGGCTGTTGATAACCTTGCTGTCTAACAGAGTTCTGACTACTGAACGCATTAAACTTCTTGGCGATAGTCAAATGAGTGACAGCCGGAGATGGCGTACACAGTGCACTTGATAAAAATGCTATTTATTTAAAGGATTAGAGTGGCCATTATGTTTAAGTACAAAGTTCTTCTCCTCTCAATAAATTTAGTCTAGGAAAAATAAAATGTTTTAGACTGTTTTTAAGTTTCAGTAGAACACAGGGTCCTCTGAGAGCTTTACTTAAGCTAGTGTCAAATGTAAAAGCTGGTTTTGACATATTCACACTTACACAGAAATAAGTTTTCAGGTTGTTTCTGTGATTAGTCTCCTTTATTGCATACTTGTGGCTAAGGATGTGGTGACTTTATAAACTCTTCAAACGTTCAGCCATTTCAGAATTTTCTATTAAATATATACAGGCAGTTTAGTGTGTGTGTGTGTGTGTGTGTGTGTGTGTGTGTTATTCGGAGAGCTGAAAGTGAAAAAGATTTCAAGTCTTTGTCTTATTGCTGCTTACCTGGCATCAGAGAAAAGATTTTAATTCTCTCTCAGCTAGTGCCCTGTATGACCTTGGACACGTTCTTTAACCTCTCCCAAGAACTCTTTTTCCTAATCTGGAAATGGGGGCCATGATTATCTAACTGGCAGAATGGTTGTAAGGATTCAGTAAATAATGTACTGAAGTAGGTAGGAAAAATAAGTTCTTTTGTGATAAAAATGAAGATTGTTGCCTTTCTATTGCTTATGAAACATGATGTAAAATAAACATAGGAATATGTTTAAACAATATAATACAATGTCAAGAAAGCCCAACACTTGTATTTATAGGAGGCATAGAATTCACTAGCTAGAAGAAGTGTAGAAATTATACGGTTCAGTGGACGCTTAGCATTTGTTTGGCTTATGGACCACTTTGAAAACCTGAAAGTTCCAATCCTTCTCGCCTCCAAATGCTCTCTACACAGAAATTAGCATATAATTTGAAGTACATACCCTAAAACCTATTCCTAATCCCTAAATCCCTTGGGCTCCGAGTTCTCAATGTAATTCACCACTTTTCATCTCAAGATGGAAAAATTAAGGCATAGAAGTGGCATGCTCTCGAGAATTAAAAATGATTTTAAGAACTCTTTTACAAAGAAGTCTTTCTCAAATCCTTTAAGGACACAGTGCCCATCAGTTTTTTGAGCATCGTTCTTGGACTGCCGCTGCACGTTATTGGTGGACTTGCTGACTAGTCCACCGTTGGTGTGTTAGTGACAGAAGAGCTATTTGCCGTCTCACACACAGTTATTTGAAATAATTTGGGTACTGATTTTACTTTTAACAGGGTTTTTCTTAAAAAAAAAAAAAAAGTGGGGTCCCTAGTGGCTCAGTCATTAGAGCGCGAGACTCTTGATCTTGGGGTTGTGAGTTCAAACCTCACGTTGGGTGGAGAGATTACTTAAAAATAAAAAAAAAAAAAAGTGTTCTTGTATTGTCAGTAAACATTCGTTAGGTACCTGTGATATTGAGAGCACAAGATAATGAGACCCAGTCTCTGACTTTGATTTGGACACTGTGAAGTAAACAGGCTCATAAGTGCGTAAGAGGGAAGCTCAGAGAGAGGAGCAACTCATTCAGGCCACAAACTTTGAAAAGGTCCCACATTTAAGGTAACGTTCAAGTTGTATCTTCGGTGATAAGTAGGAGTTTCATAGGCAGAGAATCCAAATAACTCCCTGTGTGTGTGCAGATTTTGCAATGCGTACTTTTTAGTTTAGAATAACTAATTTATACATATATGGAAATTAGTCCTAAAATATATGGAATGTCCCACTGAAGACCCATTCCCTAGCTTCATCAACCATGCGCCCTCACTCCCTGAGCCACAGTCTCTGAACCTCGGGGTCATTCTCCTCTGTGGCCTGCAATTTCTAGTTATTCACAAGGGCTTGCAAATTCTTTCTTCAGTGCATCCCTGCACCTTCCTATTCTGTTTCCGCTATCATCTTCCCATAGTTCTCTGTTTTACTAGACCTGACCTGGGTTGTACAACCTCACCAATCCTTTTTTTTTCTATACAACCACAGATGCATTTTCCTAAAATTAATTTAGTTTGAAGCCTTGCAAAGAAACACTTACTTTAAGTTATACACAGGACATAGTTATACAGTGTACTTATCATCTCACTGAAAGCCTGCCATAGTCTGACCTGGGGCTCATCACCCATTGTTCTCCAGCACGTTTGTACTCCAGCCAGCCAAGGGCAAGGCAGAGATGGTAAGAGCCCACATTAAGCTCAGGTCTCACCTACTCCACTTGCTAGCTGTTGCACTTGACCTCTCCAAGCTTGTTTCCTTATCTACAAGTTACATGGACGAATAACCAAACAACTTAGAGCTATTGGGGAATTTAGTGTGATGATGCATGGAAAGTGCCTGGTGCTATGCCTGACACATTCATTGGCTCTCAGTAAGTGGTAACATTTGTAATCATCATCATCATCACCTTCCTCTGAAATACACCGCATCTCTGTCACACAATCATTTCTGAAAACCCATCCTCTACTTACCCAGGTCATTTGTTATTCCTTTAGGACCTGCTTCAGATCCTACTTACCTTCCTGCTGATTCCTCTCCCCAAACCCACCTGCTCTCAGCCATTCTCACCTCTCCTACATTACTGCCATATTTGCTCTACAATGTTTCCAAACTCTTCTTAAGGATCTTGTCTTCCTCACCAGACTTTAGTAAGTAGAGCTGCCCCCAAGTGGAGTAGACTGTCTTGCAAAGTCATGAGCCTCCTTTACTTCACCCTCTTTTGAGGATGTTGAAGTGATCATGAAACAGATGGAAGATTGGATAGTTGATGTCTAAGGATCCTTTCAGTAGTGATTGTTGGAGTCTGAGTTGTTTAAGATCAGGGGCATGGCTTACACCTCCTCCTACTTCTCACAGTTAAGAACATTGTAGGCACACTCCATTACGTGGTGTTTGGCAGACTGGTTTTCTGCTCTTGATCCCTGTTGCAGACAAACAGTGGTTTTCCATCCTGCAGGAAGGTTTAGGAGGATGAATGCAGGGTTGGGGGGTGGAAACCCCCATGTTTATCACACTGTGACCTATAGTAAACTTACAGTGAATGTTTAATAACAAGCACCAGCCATAAGCAATGTTTCACTGCATCATTGTATATCCCTTGGAAACGATCAAATGGAAGAGCATCCTCCAAATTTAAAGCTGAAGTTTTAGAAAGAAGTTAAAGGAAAAGATGCATTGCCAAAAAACAAAACTCCTTAGATTCCACAGCAAAAGCTCTTTTTCTGAAAATTTTACTTCTCTTCCTTACAACCTCCTTCCTGGGACAAAGAGAGTGTCCAAGAATGTAAGACAGTGTTTATCTTCCATGTCTTTATTGGAAACAGTGTTTTTCACATTCAATTTTGAAATGGTTTCATTACATAGGGCACCTCTAATTTCTGCCAGTTTCTTGTATCTCTAAAATCAACTGCTTTTCCTTCTCTGTTGCTGAATTTAGGGTAGCTCTACTTAATCCGTGGCCTGGCCTTTTCATACCAGTTTGCCTCGATGCCAAAAGAACCTTCAGCTTTAAAGAATGCTCCCCAGCCCTCTGCAGATAGAGGAGGGGACAGGATGACATAAAGGTGGACAGGGGAGGAGGGGAGGAAATCAGCTCATCGAAGGTTGTCAGACTACTTTAGGTGACTTTATACTTCTTGAATTTAATCAACATAAACTATATAGACATTTCAGGCTGAGAATTTAAGTAGCAACAACAACAACAACAAAAAGAAAACCATGGTTTTTGCTGTCAGGAATGACTCATCTGGTAAGAATGGTATTGTATTGGTAATACAATACAGAGAGAAGGAAAAGACTGTGGTATCTGCTCTCTTTGTGTTTTTGACCTTGAGGAGAATTATAACTTGTTTGTTGCAGAAGTTGAGCATCTGATGTGCAGATGCACCTGTTCGTTCTTATATATTAAATGTCGCAGCACTTGCAGTTCCTGGGATTGCTTTGTGGGTGAAATATTTTCTGCAATCTGGTGAACTGTTTGTTTGTTTGTTTGTTTGTTTGTTTTAAATAATGTATCTATTTGTGTATTTTGCATCTCTTATTTCTCAAAAATACGCTTTCTATTCTATTTCAACCCCTTGGTCTCCTCATTGTAAAGTGGAATATGTTTGGCTCTTTATTGTCAAGGTCACATTATTATGATTTCTTTTTAACATAGAGACCATGAACCAGGCACCTCCTGCTAGAAAGCTGGAAGAGGTTCTTCATCTAGCAGAGCTCTGCATAGAAGTCTTACAGCAGAATGAAGAACATCATGCAGAGGTGATGACTTGCTCTAACTGTCATATAAAGCTTCATATAATGCTTTGCCGTAGTGGGAACAGCACTGAGGGAGTGGCCTGCCCATAGATTTGATATACGTGTGGCCATCTACCTGTAGAAAACGGAGACCATGTGTGCATTTCCCTGATACACAATCCCTATATGTTATGAAGGGGCTGTTTGTGTATATGATTTGTCATCTATTCCTGACAACAGTCCAGCACATGGGAGAGCTTATGGGATCTGCCAAAGATGTACCAGTAGTAAGAAGCAAAGCTAGAGCACAAACCCCATCTCTTGATGCCATGATTGCTTTAGTTTGGAGATGTAAATTCATCAGTGTGCAAAAGGAAAAGCAGTGATCCGCTATAACAAAATCAAATAGAAGACATCCGTAACTGTATGACTGAGAACTAGTCTTTTATTCTTACCATCAGACTTTTCTTTAAATTTTCACTAAGCTTTTATTGTTTATAGTTTTCTGAAGTTTTCATTAGATGTTAACATTCCCTCTGCAGAGTAGTATTGCCCCAGGCCAACTGCTTGTTCTAAGACTTAAAAGTCTTTCTTATAGTCTTTCCAAAGCTCTTTCTAATAGTCATGAGTTTATTTAAACAAAAATAAAATTTTTTTTTCAGCAATTTGAATTGGGTGGGGAGTGCTCACTTTGGCAGCATGTATACTAAAATTGGAACAGATTGGGTGGGGAAAATATATGGAATTAAGTAAATATAACAAATTTCACTGTTCTAACAGTGCTCTTATTCCTGAAGAAGCACATGAAATGGGCAAAAAAAATTTTTAAAGCCCAGATACTTAAGAATTTATACAATATTTATATGTAATGAAGCCAAGTTCTCAAAAATATAAAAAACTATAGGAAGTACATTTTAAGCAAATTCTTAAAAAAGAATATTCATGAAACCTTACTATAGGTTACTAAGATTTATTGTATCTGATTATAAATATGATCATTCAAAACATCTGCTTTTAGCTCACACTATGGAATCTAGTTTTTACCTTGCATCTGTCATGTGTGAACTTGTTATGGATATTGTATTTTAAACTGAAGAAACAGCTGCTTCAATAATTTGAAATGAATCCCCATGAGGATAGTTTCTGGGCTGATACTACTGCTATGTTACAATGAGAATGATTGTGTGATAAAATATATGTATGTGTTGTCTTTGTCTTCTATTAAAAGCCATTATCATCAGAGTATTAGACCTTTTGAATTAAAAACTATTTCTGATTGGATATTCAATTGCAGTATAGTTCACCTAAACAGGTACATCTAATATTCCCATACACTTCACAGAATTGCAGTATAATTCACCTAAACAGATACATCTAATATTCCCATACAGTTCACAGAAACACTACTTAATTTTCCTGCCTTCATAAGGAAAATAATTACTTTCCTGTTTTTAAATATAATTATTAAATGTTGTCTATTCCATGCAATGACTACATGCTTGTTAAAGATAATATATCCAAACACAATTAAAATGTAAATAATATTTTCTAATCCACAAAAATATGGTTGACTTTACTGAACAGAGATAATCATAACTCATAAATATTCTATTATAACTATAGAACTGTTATAATGACCTCTTTTAAAAATGCTTAGTAACACTATGGCATTTTCCATCCCCCAATGCTTCCAAATTCTTGGAATCCATCAGGGAAGAGAGGTGAGTAAAACTGTTCCCACTATTTTTCTAGCATGGAATAACTTTTTTAGTGAAGGTAAGATAGAACTCACTTTGACGATAGTTAATTTTAAAGCCAACCTAGTTCTCCTTCCAATTAAAGACGATTTCTTGGAATGGGCTTACAATTGTTGTGTTTTGGTAATTGTGTATTATTAATAACTGCATGCATAATTAAGGCCAGCTGAAAGGATTTGGATAATGCCGTTTTCTCTCTTTTATTTTGTCACTTTCTTTTTTCTTTTTTTTAAAGATTTTTATTTTATTTTTTAAGTAATCTCTATACCCAACATGGGGCTCAAATTTACAACCCCCAAGATCAAGGGTCACATGCTCTACTGACTAAGCCAGCCAAGTTCCCTGCCTTTTTCTTTTTTTAACCAGAAGATCCAACTTTTCCAAACAAACTGAGGAGTGAATTGGTCTGATTCTAAAGTCATTTCCAGAGTGAATGAGGAGACTGAACTCTGCACTGATCTTTATTCTGCTGGATGTTCAAGCTGGGGTCTCTTTACTCTGTGAGAGAGAACCGGGCTCGGCTCCCTTGGTGGAGGTCAGCACATCTGCCTCACAGAGCCCTCCCTTTGGCTCCTGCTTGGGCTTCCTTCACTTTCATTGCACCGGTCTCCCAAGGGCAGTTTGTTTTCGGGGCTAAGAGGTTGTTTGGATCTTCCAGCAATTTCCCAGTCAAGCAGTCTTTGTGTCCTTCACATTTTTTGACAGTGACTGGCTTAGGAGACAGTCCTCCCTTCTCTCGGATGGCCTCTTAACCTCTTCTCTCAGGCTGTTTTCTGACTTGTTTTCTCTTTGAAAAGATCACTTAAGATCCTTTCCAGAAGATCTTCAAGGCCGTCTCCACATTCCAGTGACTGGACTGTACCTGACCAGGAATTTAGGCAAACAGATCTGTATACCGTCCATCCAAAGGCCTCTCCCTTTGATGATGGCGGGAGGTCCCAGATGCTGATGAGAAAGCCTCGGGCTCTCACCAGCACCCCGTCTCCACATGCACCATTGGACTGATAAGAAAACTGACCCAGAAAGGTTGAGCAGGTTGCCCCATGTGCACAGGTGGTTAGTGATGGGACTCCAGACCTGGACGCTTTGCAGAGCACCACATTGTTATTTCTCATTCAGTAGAAGGGCGCAGGGGTTGTCTGACCCTGGATCTGTTGCCAAGTTTCATACCAGGCATCATAGCAGGCATGTAAATGCAGAGCGGATGATTATGGTGCAAGCCTGGAGATGTCCCTTTCCATTCATTCTCTTCCTTTCCTTGCTGGCTGGTGTGTCCTAGGACCCTGCCTAGAAGAGATGGAGTCCTGAAAAGATCAGGAGGTCAATAAGATCAATACAAGCACAGCCCGAGTTGCCGCTTTGTTGGTTATTATGACAGCAGAGTCTTGACTTAGGTCCCTAAAATAGTCTAAATGTACTATTGTCCACCGTGTTGGTGATACTGAAGCAAAAATGACTTTGGTCAGCAGTTTGGTATTTGCGTCACAGGTTCAGTGCGCGTAGCTGATTCACCTCACGCTTCAGCTGCCTGTGCCCCAGACCCTCCAGCGACAGAGGCAGGACAGGAAAGGAGTTCAGTGTGGACACACACCGTTGCACATCTGCTCACGCACATAAACATCAGCATCTGAACCAGGTTATGTTTCTGGTTGGATTCTAACACGAAGAGAAGGGGTATTTGATATTTTTTCCCATGTGTTTTGCTTCTCTGTGACCTTGCTTTTCTCACGAGCATGCACGTCTAAGGAACATCTTAAGGTCTGGTTATTTGTTTCATGAATAAGGTCTGTTTACTACCTACTACTAACTAAACCTCAGTAATCTCAACAATTGAATTACTGTTAATTACATAGTATTTATATGTGGATAGCCAGGTAGATCGCCAGTGAGATAAACTAGCATTTTTTTAGGGTGGTTTTAGGTTTAGGGTTAGGTTAGCCTCTGGTCCAACAAATGTCCCTCATCACGGAAGGTGAAGACCAGAAAGTGGTTTTAGATGGGAGAGTTAGAGAGGCAGAATTGCATTTGCCGCTGTAACTCTCAAATGAAATTCCTTGGGTATGAATATCCCACCAAAAATGTTTGTTAATTATTTAGTATTTTTTAATACTATATATATAGTATATATAATAATATATAACAATAATAGTGGTATTTTACCCTGGCTTATGCTTTAAGATATTTTCCGTTTATCGTCACACTCGGTTACTTTAATATCTATATTCATGTATGAACCCAACTAGGGAGCGATTTTATTGAATTGAAAGAGTTGTAAAAAACTGATGGTTGGCCTGGCCTGGCCTGACAGTGGTTTAGCTGTCACCCTCTAGTCTATTCTCCTGGCTCCTCAGAAGAGCTTACATGTTTCTAGAATGTGGCCCATCAGTGTTGCATTGCCTCTGTGTGTGTGTGTGTGTGTGTGTGTGTGTGTGTGTGTTGGGGGTGAAGGTTATTCAAGACACTGGACTATCCCCTGAGCTTTCGGGATCATCTACAAAACACAGGATTGCAAACTGATCTTTTCTTGGGGAAAAATGAGCACATACAGCATCCCAAAGCCAGATTCACAGGTTTCCTCATTTAGGCAGCCATTTCCTTTTTTATGGTTGTAAATTATACATTTTAACTATATGGTGAGTGTAAAAGTAATGAAAAGCCTCTGCCCTCAGAGAAATTAGAAAAGATATAAAGAAATAAGATATTAATAGATGTTCTTGCAGGAAAAACAAAACAAAACAGGACATTACCAGTGGTCTGAGCTGCAAAAATATGATAGATATACAGATGGATGGACAGGTAATGTGCTAAATATAGTTAATTAAGAAGAGTCTGCATATGTAAGAGCTTCATCTCTGCACTCCAGCTGACCTGGATTCAAATTATTGTTCTGTCACCTACCAACTACTTGACTTTGGGCAAGTCATTTAATCTCTCTGAGTTTGCCGCCCTACAAATTAAGGATAATTATGCCATCTACCTTTCTGGAAGGGTTATTTGGAGGGTTAATAATGTAACGTATAAAGAGCCTTTAGAACAATACTTGGCATGTAAAATATCTCAACTCACATTATAAGATCTGTATGGATTTCAGCTCATTTCTGTAATTACTGAGAGTGATTAGTTTTTTACTTTTGTAGATCAGGAGATTTTCATATTCGTAGAATTTTCATAACGATGCGAGGGTCAGACAAGTATTATTATTGCCAGTTTGCAGTTGAGGAAATAGATATCCACTCAGGGAACTGATTTGCCCAGGAGCGTTCAAGT